TTAATACTAGAACAGGAAATCCATTTCGTCCACCTGTTTTTCTTCTCCGATCCAAATATCACTGTATATCAACGGATTTTGAAGAATACATTCAAAAAATCATAAAATATCTATCAAAAACAATTTTAGTCGCCATCCGTTTAGGATATACAACCTGAAGACAAGAGGTTGTCGAAAATGAGCCATTTACGGACATGAGAGTAGACTCAAAAACAAAGCGAACGTATTAAGGCCCTACAAATTTTTTGAGAAAAACGTCAATTTACAGATTACAGTCTCGAAAATTTGGCGAATTTTCCTTTCTCTTGTTTTAGCTTCAAGTATATAAAAAGTATTTTTAAGAAACTCTTTAAAAAAAATGTGCTGTGGTGATTTCTCAAACAGATCTTAATTTCGATTCCAGATAGATTCCAAATAAGCATCTATACTAGCACCCTTTTTACGTATTGAGTATAGTGAAAGAAAAAAAAGTAACGTGTAGGTCGTGATCTGTCGTATCGTAGATCAATCGCGTCTTATCCTATTGAGCCAATTGCTTTGCTTACGTAATAACTGCATGTATTTTCTTTTCATTTTTTGCTGATGCAAATTTTGGTTTATGCAATATTTAAGGCTCATCCAACCCTAGAAATTTGTAATTTTGTTAGAAACTTGAAAAGTTCAATAGGCGTATGACTGGAGAGTCTATGATGTCTAGTTTCAGAATCTCTACTTCTCTTGTCTAAATCCAATATTTGTCTAATTTCCGCACTTTTTTACTTCAAAATATTAGCAAAGTCATTTAAGATAGCTGAACAGTTCAGACAACATTTGGCTTCAAAATGAGACATTTCCGACCTTGGTATGACCTTTTGATCAAAAGTTATAAACATTTTACTAAAAACCCTTAGATGTGTTCATATTTACTATTTCGTTCTTTCCTCTTCCTATTAGAGGTGTTCGCTGTTTCAACGATTTCTCGTCGTAGAAAGCAGTTAGGAAGCTGGGAATGTTTTCTTTTTTGTTTCATTGATCATTGGGAACTATGTAACAGAGCAGAATCTTTAGTTAAATCTTATTTTTTTCTACAAACGCACAACCTCCAAACAATTTTCTGGGTTTTTGAAATAAAATGTGTATAACTCACTTCTGAATAAAAATCCCGAAAATTCAGCTCTGTTGTGTTATCCTCCTTTAGCAATCCCACACTCTCTGACTGCTTTCTCGGAGGCGAAACTTTTTTAACGCCATCTACCACATTCTGGCTCCTAATAACCCTATAACTCGAGTACGCTTGTGCCTAATGATCTCAAATTTATATCATAAATATCTCAGCCTAGGACCACTATTCTCTGAAAGTTTCGTGAAGATCGGGTTTATTGTTACCAAAATAGCTTTTCGAATGGGGGGGGGACCTTAAGCGAGAAAGAGATTGGTAGGAAAAAAGGTTTAGGGTTTTTCAAAACTGCAGAACTTTTTTGACTGAAATGATTTTCCACCAACTATGGATCGAACTATAATCTGTGCTTTACCACGGATCTATTGAAAGAGTTCGGAAATAAAAGAACTTTGTAGAATCCTTTCTTCTACTGAGAAGAGAAGATTCAAAAATGGTTTTGAATGTTCATGGCAGAAGAGACAGATATTAGAAATCACTGCTTTTTTCGAACGCTCTAAATGGATTACCTCTTGGATGATAAATCGTCATCTAAAATTGAATATAAACTTTATTGGTCTGACGATTCAAAACAAATATATAATTTACGATTTGACAAAGCTTCACGTCTGTATTCAATAGACTCAATAATAATTAGTTTCAGTTCGACTTTTATACGTCAATATCAATTAAAACAAGACGAAAAAATTATACCATGGACACCATCAACAACGAGTCATTTAACACTAGATAAATTATTAAAAAATTTTTTTAAAGAAGATGTTCTTGATGGTGATTATGATTGTTCTAAATGTAAAAAAAAAACACAAGCAAAACAAAAAACTCAATTATGTCTACCACTACCACAAATACTTATTATACAATTAAAACGTTTTACATATGATCAATGTTCAAGTGATAAAATTGATATATTAATTGAATATCCAGTTTATAATTTAAACCTTAATCATTATGCAATAGTTTCAGAAGAAACAGATGAGACGTACGATTTAATAGCTATATCAAATCATAGTGGTCTGTTATCATTTGGACATTATGTTACATACGCAAAAAATAATCAAACACAAAAATGGTATTTATTTAATGATGATTCTATTCAAGAAATTGACGAACATGAATTAATAACAAAAAATGCTTATATTTTGATTTATATGAAAAAACAAAATAAATCATTATTACCCTCATCATTGTCACCTATAACAACAGATGAACAATCTAAAACTGTTGGTTAAAATCGAACTGTTTGTAAATATTGTTCTTCTCGTATTGTCTGCACACAGGGTGACCAGCTAACTCTGCTACCGCAAGGAACTTCCGTGACGTTTTTTCTTCATTCTGTTGTGTCGATATATACCAAACTGAATCACGTAGAGAGTCGCGAGACGTCTTAGATTGAAGAGAGAAACCTTGTGAACATTTTAAGACGTATCTGCACTATAAAAAGTGCCTCTTTCGGAGACTCATAATAAAACACTGAGTACTACTTTTCGATTTTGAATTTTTGAACGTAGTACTCAATGTTTTATTAAGGTGCACGTAATTCAAAGAAGCAGCACTATTTTTTTTCTCAAAAATTTATACACGGCTGGATAGAGCTCACCGAGCTGAACTAAATATATGTGTTTTGATCTTTGAAAGTGATTCTGTGACGAGAAATTTTTGAAAAACTGGAAATTTGGCTATAGTGCAAAAAACCGCTATTTTTGCAATAAAATAGATTTTTCGCATTCCCCTTATGTATTGGAACTTCATAATTTTTTTCTTCTTATTTTGCATGAAAAACTGTACACTTTAGAGGGAATTTTCTTGCTCATAAAACTTGTGCTTTTTGATGTCATCACGAATTAAAGTTACCTGCTTGGGAAATTTCAGAAGTTTTCTCAGAAACTATTCGAAGATAAAAGTATGAGAGTTTAAATTTCTATTGGTGTCTGAAGTATTCAAGAAGCGTATTTGATCATATCCTGAACATTCTGATTATTTCTTGCTCTAGAAACAAAGCTCTTAAATGCTTTTCCTTTCAAGTATGCTGATCTAAATTACTTCTCTGTAAAATGTCCGGTCAACAGCGAAAAAGCCTCAAAGAGTACTAAAATGAAAAGTCCAAAAATAGTTATGCATATGTAATTTTACGTGCTCTATCTAGTGAGGCTAAAATTAGAACTTAGAATTTGGTAATTAAATCGAACAACGAGTTTTGTCTTAATAAAACTTTTTTAAAAAGTCGTCTATTCCGGATTGTGCGCGTTTCCGAAATGCCAAACATTCAAATTCGAGTAGAGCTTAAAATTTTATGTATACTGATAGATTATCACTATGTAATTGAGACACCTTTTCTCACTGGAATCATAAAATATAAAAATCGACTAAATGTTCTTATATCGATGACGCGCTAGACAAATAAGAACGTGTTTTATCATATGGGAAGAGAGAAACGAGAGAAGAAAAAAATATATTTCCTCTTTTTCACAGTGAACACGAACTTATATATAAGTCATTTGCAACTTTATTATACAATTGGTAAAAAAGAATGACAGTGACTTTAAACAAAACTTGATCAGTACACCTTGTTCTCGGTTGTTTTCTGAGTCTAGAACCCAAATTTCCCGACTAGCACATGAGTAGCGGCTGAGATAAACCTCAACAAACGTCGGCAGGTTCCATTTTCTAGGTTTTAGGCCATTATGATCTCGATGTTGCTTTAAAAGCGGATATATTATATACCATTCGATAGGTCTCGAAGAGATCTATCAATCCATACCTGATTTAACCTAGTCTGACCTGAACAGCAAACGTTAGATTGTTAAAATCCAAATTTTCGTCTGAAAAACTGTCCTTTCACAGTGTTTGACGATAAAGTGCTAGTGAGAACGTGTTTTATTTGCATGTAATTACCTTCTTGCAACATTGCACCAGAGCTAGAACACGTACAAGTACCTCAAGTAAAAGTATTATACTTGTACTTGCAAAAATGTACTTGATACTTGTACTTATACTTTAAGAAAAGTACTTGGTACTTATACTTGTACTTCGAGTTAAATACTTTTGTACTTG